TGCTCGATGAAAATTGTGTTTGACATACATCCTGTACCATCGACAGGATGGGAAATGATGCATATGATAAAACAAGCCCGATATAAAGAGACAACCACCACCACTTGTGTCGATGTTTTTCGCCACAGTGCGCTGTGTTGTCGTGGATAATACGCCGCCGGCCTGGATGGGCGGCGGCGCTATTTTGCCATTTCCATTACGGGGCAATGCTCCCCCGAGGCACTGAATGGTGTGTGGCTGTGCGGTGGTGGGTCCCCAGGCATGCTGTCTGCGTGCTCATTCCGCGACGAAAGCTCTGGCCTAGAGGTGGCAAAAGATGACAATTTTGGGAACCAGATTTGAACCAGACCCGTCTGGACATTTCTGAAACCAGTCAGACCCGGCCTAAGTTGGAATCGGAACCAGTCGGACCCGTTGCCCAAACGTCAATTAATATGAATTATTTGTAGGTATCATTAGTTGCATCATGTAAAACAGCCTTTTTCTCACTGGGAATACTTATGAGCTACAGTGTGCCAAGAAATATACATCAGCAAATGTTTTCTTTCCATTCACTTTATATTTTGCAATCATGTGTAGTGTGCAAGATGTATACTTAGTTTATGGTAGGACCCGGTTGGACCCGTCAGAAAATTTCCAGGAACCGATCTGGACCCATATGGTTCCAGACTGGTTCTTTGGACCGGGTTCTCGGGTCCACATTTTGCCACTCTGGCCTGACATTGGTGTCTCCCGGGCAACAGCGGGGGTCGGACACTGACGGAAAATTGGGAGACGTTCATTGTCCTGACAATGTTAAAGAGAATAACGTGCCACCTACGCTGTCCGACATTGACCCGTCCCGGACACCCGTCCTGACGGACGATGATCTGAACAATAGCGCTTTTCAACTGCCCTCAACACTACGGGGCGGCACAGACTACCCACCCTGTGGTTAGCACCCTGCACCGCATGCTCGTTTGGCACCTGAGTGCCACATCCCCAGCTGAGCCCTCTGCTGACACATTTCCACCGGCCCGCGGTTCTGACATCACCTAGCGCGTCACCGGCGCTGACGCCATCCTGTACCGTTCCTCCACCCTCTCGAACTTCCACCTCACCCACCCCGCATCCTCCAACATCCGGCCAACGGGGGAGCGGTGCCGGCAGCTCTCGCAATGATGCGCGGCAAGGGCCGCTGTGACGACCGGTATTGATCAGTGCCGAGGTTCCGGCGGCCGGTGACGACCCTGGCGGCGCGCCGCGGCGACGTAAAACGGCGCGGCGCGCGGCGAGGCGTGGCGCGGAGCTGCGTCACAACTGCCGAGCTGCGCCAGCCGTCCGAGCGGCTCTGGCCGACCGACGGCTGGCGGCCGGCGATGGGGGCCGGTCGTAAATTAGTCAGCTGGCCGGACCGCCGTATTGCCCCCGGGGAAGGGCGGACAGTGTAGTGATTGCAGACAATGGGACAGAGGATGGCTCGGTGATGGGAGGCCAAATGTGCTGAGCTCGATGTTCGCTTATTGCCGGTCATGTCTTTGAGAAACCGAGCCGTCTGCAGTTGGAAAAGTGGAATATGTAGACTGCAGCAATGAGTATGAAATGAATAATTGATGTTAACTGATGGTGTATGGCTTTGAACCTTCTACTGAAGCCACGTCAGTTATAAGTCTTGTTTGATTGTGCGACGTACATTGTACATGCATCGTATTTAGTCGATAATGCTTCTGGCATCGGCCGTTGCGTAAACCTCCAAACCTCCCGCTTACTTCAAGCAACGTTTCGACGTTTTTTCGTTTAGTCATAAAACCTTCAAAGAATCAGTCAGTTAAAGAAGAGAACGATAATGCTCCTATAAAACACATGATTGCATCTTACTTCCAGCTTCCCATCTCAGTTAAACACCTGCGATTGCTACAGTTTGTATCAAAACTCATCTGATGCGTCTGTGATTGATCCGTTTTTAAAATCCCGCTCTCATTTCTCTCCCGAGTTCTTTGACGAGCGTCGAAGCCTGCAGAGGCTGTCTTTTGAGCTGCTTAGCGCCAAAGCTGTGCCTTTGAGCCGGTCTTTCCTGTGACACACGCGTAGGGAGCCGTCGGATTTACCTCAGTTCGTGACTGATGATACCCTGATCCGCTCGGCTCTGCCGTACTCCACTGGCTTCCTCCGGCAGCTGATAGACTATTGATGGCTTGGTGGCTGAGGAATGAGGATTCCCCAGGATGGTGATCTCTTGGGCTCACTGCCTTGAGACTGCCCGGACAGACGGAATCCCGGGGTCGAGTTTTACTGCCGAAGCATCCATTAGCCGTTTGATCTGGTTACGTTTAATGCCGATTGCCTGTCGGATTGGTCGTCTCTGGACGCCGACGACCTCTGCACTGATGCGGTCCGGCCGCCCTGAAATCCGAAATGTCATGATTGTCTCTGGAGCCTGGAGGCAGACTTATTTTGATTATTTCTTGAGGCTGCTTTGTTGTTTGAGCTCAGCGCCGATTTAGCTAATGTAGCTAATCGCTGTAACCTAATGGCTTTGAGCTTACGGACTGACTTGCAGCAATTGCAGCAGTCACACTGGGTCGCAATGCCTATGGCCTTTCTGGCGCTGCGTTTGATGCCTCCTGCCTGCCGCCTTCGCCCATTTAGGAGTGATGTGATTGATGGCTGTGATATCCGACACCGGCTGGCGGTGGCTCGCGACGCCGACCTGTTGCTGAGGTGACGCCGTCAGACGCACACGGCACCGCCGTCGACTCGTGTTACATCGATTGGCGCCTCCTGTGGCGGCGACGCGTGCTCCGAGACCGGGGGGGGGAGGTCTCCCCCGGAGAGAGACGGATGGCGGCCGTCGTATGGTCTCTGACCGCAGTCATGCGCGCGGCACGTGATACCTTTCCACTACACTACGGCCTCGTATAAATGCACAAAACTATTCTGGGTTTCGTGCGGAGTTGGTTCGAGAATTCCCAATGGCGATGGGTGAACCCAGTTTAGTGAAAGTATATTTTATGGGGTGATTATGAAAAATCGATGGCCAGAGCGGACCGGAAATCCTTTGAGCCCGCTTATTTTGGCGGCGTGCTGAGAAGCCGTTACCACTTTGAGAGCGGACCCTCGAGATGTATGGCCGTTTTAGTGTTTTACAGAATCGGCTCGGACGAATCGCCGTGCGGCACTGCTACATAGTTCGCCCGTGGTGCGGCGCAGTTCTGAGGATCGGAGATGATTTCCTGAGCGAAACTTTTCACAGCCTGGACGGTCTCCTCGAGTAGCTCGAAACGTTTGGGCGAGCGAGACGAACAAAGGTAGTTTGGTGTCGTAGTTGATGAAGCCACTCAAAACTTGAAACTGCGCAGCGTATGAACGGTACTTTGAACTTTCACAACTGTCGTGACGGCTATTAGTAAGTTTGCAGCACCTACAGATGATGGACCTTGTCTCCGCATCCCGTATCAATGACAAAATGTCGTTCATACTTCACTGCACGTTTGATTATCACGCGTATTCTTCATGAACTTGATGCAATGGCGCCGCCTCGGGTATAATGCCACAACGATAGTACCTGTCACCATTGCATTTATTGGTATTCTTCGACCGATTCTCATCCAGCCTCTTTTACAATTGACCTTACCAATTTCCATGACCCCAGCCGTGACCCTGACGTTGGTCGTGCATCACCGACCGACAGGATGCTGGTGACAGCAAAAATAATGGACGGTAGCGCTCCTGTGATATACATATGTGCCCTGTACCGTTTGCGACACAAAAATTGTGTGTTTGTGTGTTGATATGGTAACGTTGCAGTTTGCAGTGGCTGTTGTAGTTTCACGTCAATACGCGATTGCTGACTGCAGGGTTGAATCGTGCCCATTGGTGCTCATTATGACTCTCTTAACTGTCGAATGATTACTTTCATCGAACCCCGGGGATTTTACCAAAATATTTGTTTGAATTTAATTTGTTTTCTTCGGGCTTCGTTGTCGGGAATAAAAGATAAGGCGTTTTATCGCCAAAAGAGAGTATGCAAACAAAATCAGATGCAAATGTTCGTATAATTATCTACCCAACTGAAATCTATCTAAGATGCTTGAGCGCTGTCTACAGTTTCCGAACAGTCTGCCATAACAGTCGGTCTTCTGTTGTCACCTTGTGCAGCATTAAGGATCGTTAATTGCCAACCAAACCGAATGACCCCTCCGGAACCCAGCACCAGCCTCACCATCCACCAGCACCAGCCTCACCATCTACCTTCCTGCTACCTCGTCCATCATGCCGGGAAAGTCTGCCCCTGGCTGCCGTTATCGCTGTCTTCTACACAGTCCCTTATCGTGGCTACTGCCGACATTCGGGGAGCCTAGCCGAACAGGGTTCGCCTTTCTTTATTCAGCTCACGATTGGCTTTATCGCGGCTGTTTTGTGTGTACACATGGGGGGTGGCGTGGTTGACACGTTTGTTTGTGGACGCTATCGGCATCCGGTGACATTTGGTTATTATTCGTTACAGCTGTACCAATCTGGTGTTAGATATGGTCACGTAGATGTTATCATTTTACACAGTTGCTGAAAATTACCTGCGAATACGATCTAGTCATCGAACGATGCTCTTAACCATCTGAAACCAAATTTTGTTGTTTATTTGATTGACGATTATCGTATGGATCTCGGGAACAATAAAATCACATTATATAACATAATGTTCACTCACCTCCTCCCTTGAAGCGTACTCATTGGGACTAAACCTGTTACAATGCTCAAATAGCATATGTGGTAAAGTACAACACCGTGGCAAAGACACAACATCGTGGCAAAGGCATACATTGATGGGAAACATGTCGATTCGCGACTTTGTCTGAAGAACTGTAAAGCCAAAAATATCTTGGAATGCTGCCCCCCGCCAACAGCTAACCGAACAATAGCGCACTGTACTCCCGTCTCAAGTGACCCCACAAGTGTGCCGGTATGCCGCACGCTCAACCCGCTGTGACTCACGCCTGACTGCTCCCTTTCTTCCCCCACAGATCCACAAGTGGTCGCACACCTACTTCGGTCTGCCGTGGTACGTGACACTTCTCCAGGACTCTCGGGTGATCCTACCGCGTCGTCACCACCGGATTCATCACGTGGCGCCGCACGATACCTACTACTGCATCACCACGGGGTGGCTGGACTGGCCTCTGGAGCGACTGGGCTTCTGGGGCCGGCTGGAGGCGACCGTGAGCTGGCTCACGGGCGCCGTGCCCCGTGACGATGACATGCGGTGGGCCCAGAAAAGGTCGTGAGGTGACTGAGAGCATCGGGAGGAGTACCGGGAGTGATGGATGCGCGTGGTGGTGCGCCGCGCGTGTTGTGAGCGGGATAGCTCGCACGGGGGAACGCAAGCCGCTGTGATCACGGGGAAAGTCGCGTTTTGTGACAATATAAACTGACCCTGACGAGGACGCGCCACGAGCCCGACTGTCCTGACGGGGACATTGACCAAGTCTGACTGATTTTAGTCCGACCAGTCACCTCATGACGGTTTACCGTATGGGGAGACTTTCAAAGCACCTTTAGCAGCTCTAAGTGCAATGCACCCACCCAACCTGCATCTGTTCTTGGCTGTCAGCAGACTGCTGAATTTTTCCATTTGAGCCGCCGCGCCGATCCGGAACCGAACCGCCGTCTAGCAGCCGCCGCCTCAAAGTTGGTCGGTTTCAAACTTAGTGAGCTGCCGGCGGGTAAGTTGGCTGCCGCCTCGCGCCGGAGCGTCGAGAGGCAGTTACACGAGTTTGACTTGCTGTCGTTGGCGAGGTATTTTCGCCCGCTGCGCCCCCAGGGCTGTTTGCGTCCACAAAACGGTCGCGGATAGAGATTTAATGGAAGACGGAAGTCGAGAGACGTAGTTTGGCTGGCGAGGATCGGTATATGGTGGATGGCTGGCCGTGGACGGCGCGCCAGCGATGTGGAAAATCGACCAAAGGTGACGTCTGTGGATCACAGGGGGCACTCGACATTCAGTGTACTTTGGATTAGATTGGGCAGATGGTGAACTTTGGACAACCCGAATCAGCGTGACGTACGCGAAATGGCGGCACGATTTGACACCGTGACGAAATTAACTGATATAGGGACTGATAGCATCAACTGCGGATGACTGGCATTTGCCGATTGGTGACCAATGGGTTGACTGTAGACAACAGGCCACTCTGACTTACTGCAATCGATCAATATCATGCCACCAATCATAAAGGGTATATCGCTGACATGACCGGGAACCGCTGACCGCGTGTTTCCGAACAAAGTTGTTTCGGTGACAAATCATCATCGTTTGTCATGTCTTAGTATGACGTCATAGGCGTCACTGTTATTACGTCAATTCAGCGGCCAGCTTGTGCAACACTGGTCGAAAATGTTTACTTTTGGCGGCTCACTCGTGCTGTACGCTTTGCACTTGTGTCTCTAACTTGTCTCTAACCCGAACGCATTCGGCTTTTTCTTCACTTTCGCGCCCCAATTTATAAAGAAGATGTGACTAAGCATGGGGAGAGTAATGCGAGTATTGCTATCATTTGTACTGTGAAAAGACCATGCGCTGGCGATGTGTAGCATTTATAGCATGGGAGTCAATATCAAGCACACACGACGTGAGAGGCTACTGTAATGTACGATGCCACCGAAGGCTTGCGTTACTTTTGGACTAGTGATTTTTCCCACCTGATTGTAGTTTCAATTGCATTTTGACAGAGGCTTTTTGCGTTGATCTGTGGACGTCTATAGCTAGTTTTGTGGAATGAGCTCACGCGTGGCGTGTGTAGTGTGACTGTGGACTTGCGACGTTTCGTTTTGCGGCAAATTGTACCCTTGCTCTGGCATAGCTCGTGTGAAGGCCCCTGAAGGTCCTCTATCTCCCATCGCGCTCCGCTTTCTACCTACATATTTGAAACCACCTAGGCATTCTTTTCAGTCCGAGACTACGTATCCATGATCCAGGACCCGCCGCGCATGTAATCCACCACAGACAGTCGCACGCTGACCCAGTATGTATTTGACGTACCGTAGAGCCCATGGGCGTATGTCCCCACCCCTTACCGTTACCGGCCTTCCCCATCAGCCCCAGCGTTGACCAATTCCAGGAAAGGTCTCTGCAGCATTGCGCAGTGTTCATGACGGCACGAATACCGTATTATGTGAGTCACATGGGGTGTTAATCAGCTGAGCGCCCCCTGACACACGTGTCGTGGGGCCATTCGCTGTCGGTCACGTGCTTCCCCGACACTCGGTGGCTGACACGACACGGTCGCCCGGTCCGCGACTGGACGCTATATCGACCCCGGGAGCCGCCGTGTGTCATGTTCTGCCACACCGCAAGCGGGGACCACTCTGGGGATGGGGCGATTGCGGTGTGAACTGCAGTGCGTCATGCTCCGCGACCACACCCCCTGCCCGACTCTTGCCGCAAATGATGATGCTGCAGCGATTGATATGTTGTCCTTTTTCCGTTTTCTGTAAGCGCGGAACAGTGAATGCTGGTAGTATATGGTGACGATGGTAATTGGAAGAAACCCATTCACTGCTATTGTAATCTGTCTTCGGCGATGACTTTTGTCTAAACTCCCTCCCTTCCACGACTGATTTAATCAAACAGTTGCGTGGCAGTGATGGCGGCAGCGGTGCGACTGTGACGGTGAATCGTTTTACGTAATTCGGTACCGGCACCGTTTGATGCTCACGGCTCACATATAGAATTCCAACAGTAGCGCTCGCTTGCTTTGTAGGCCGCTTGGTGGTCTTGTGTGGGGTTCTGTGGGTGGGAGTGGCTGTGTTGAGGGACGGTACAATACCGGCGTGTTGCGTGTTGCATGATGTGTTGTGTCTGCAGGCTGTCGCTGTTGCCCTGTGTCTCACTGTCCCTCCTCTTCTCGCTGTGAATTGTGATCGACGGCTGATGTGTGTTGATGTGGTGTTTGAGGGCGCCGGCCGGGCGGTACCCTGTGAGCGCGCTCTATAACTGTCACTTCCCTGGTAGTTTCTGGTAGAGAATGTACCTATAGCCGTGGGCAGGTGTGCACCTCACCCTAATGGATGTGGACTATCCCTCGATGCTAGTCGCTCGCGGGTATCGCGCCTGGCTGCGCCTATTAGCGTTACCAATCAGTTCTTCACTAATCACTGAGTCCATCCAATGCGAATATTTTTGTAATCAGTGCGTGCCGCTTTTCACGGTCAGTTGTTTTGGATTATGGTGAAATGCCCGCCGGGTGAAAGAGAAAGCTCTCGGCCCACGGATTTCATAATGTTTAATAAATTGTTATAAAGACGAATGCGTTTAGTTCAAAATATCAAGCAAATACTTGGTCACAACGCCTCGTGACTCCTGAGGCACACGAACCGGTACCTGGCAGCTATTGATCAATGATTCAAATACGGCCTGGTAACTGGTTTCCACTGACAAGGTATATCGTTCATAAGAAAATTATATTTTGTGCCTCAGTCAGGCACGACAATTACAATGGTAGAGGGGGCAGGAGGAGGGGCATATTGGTCATTTGCTCTTCTTAGCGCCTCCGAACTTGGCAGTGAAATCAAAGCTTTTGTCATTCCTTAGTGACGCGAAAACTGTAAACAAGTGAGGTCCTAGTTTTAGGAAATTCGAAAGCGTTTTGGGGATTGGGGAAACGTCCCAACTGGTATCATCCAATTTCTTGATCCGTCAAAAGACCTTTCAATCGGGGCTTATTATTGGACATTGGTGCCTATGGTCTATTCGCCGTGTTTTCTGGCGGAAAACTTGCAGTTCTAAAACATTTAGTGAAGCGTAATTAAAAAATGGTACCAAAATCTTGGATGTCAATGATTTTTTTATTATTTTGATTGATAAATGGCCCCTGTAAATTACAATCCAACACAATCGAGCTTCAATCACTTGTCGAGTAGCCAAAAAATGGAATGGCCGCTGTGCTTTCGAAACGATTCCCATCTCTATTTGTATTGAATGTTTATTTGCGCAACAGAGACGAACGTGATGCAAAAATTCGCGCAGTGTTGCGCGCGGTTGATATTGATATTAGTGTTTTGTGGTGGGTATAATATTTATTTTTATATGGGTTAATATCAATTTCATAGGCTGTAATTTTAATAAGAGAAAATTGTCCTTATAAAGAGCATTAATTTAATGGGTCGTGCTTCTAGTAGAAAATATTGGATTATGAATTACATCAACATTGAAATGGCGTCGCTTCCGGGAGCGGAAAAAAGATGCTGGTGCGAAGAATATGATCAGAGGCCAGTTTGACCACCAGAAAAATAGCCGCCTGCTGGAATTTTTCCTTCCCTAAGACTGCTTCACATGCATACACATAGTAGGCGTGCTGAGCACGTAAGCGGATAGGTCTACCATTTTTGGTTCATATGTGAAGCGGTCTTAAGGGCTAAGGCAGAAAATTCCTGCAGGAGACTATTTTTCTGTTGGTAAAACCGGCCTCTGAAATTGCTGATAGTGTTCACATAAACATTATTGTTTCCACATTGTTGACAAAATTTGCGTGCACAATTGGTCAAAAATGTCAGCAGTTGGTGATTTCTATTGTTTAAAATTTTGCTCAAAATGTAAAATGTTATATTTTTCAATCTAAAACTTCTTCTAATGTTTTACTACCTACATCATTACCACAATACATTATTTTTATATCCAAAGTGTCATTATGTAGGTGATGGTGATGACTGATGAGTTTGCCCTTTGAATGAGTACTGTCATATGGATTAGGATTCACATTGTCAGTGAATTCGTAGGCTTCTTTTAGTCTTTCCAATAATCCAATTGGATTCAAAATTCAATTATCCTTGGGCACTCACTTAAATTTCAGCCATTTCGATTTATTTTTGATGTGCATGAGGGTCCAGTTCTGCTGAGTTATGGGGGCCCCAGCAATGAGCATTACAAAACCGTAGGCTGTGGGTATATGTCAAGTTTAGGTCCTAACTACAATTGTGGCGCTTCTGATACGAATATGAAACAGCAAAAATTTTAGGTTTTAGGTTAGGTTAGGTTGTAGGTTTGTAGGTTTTAGGTTGTAGGTAGGTAGGTTTGTAGGTTAGGTTAGGTTAGGGTAGGTTTGTAGGTTGTAGGTTGGTAGGTTATAGGTAAGTAGGTAAGGTTAGGTCAGGTTTGATTATGTTTTTTTCTTTTATTTGCGAGACATATGAGTATCATTTTTGGATTCAGGATGTCAAATAATGTAAAAATATGAAAAATTTATCAATGAAATCTTCTTAGGACTTAAACTTGACATTTACCGGCTGGGCCTGGGGTCATGGGGTCATGGGTCAGTCACCTTGACCTGGGTCCTGGACTGTCTGATGCAGCTACAAAGGCCAAGCCTGCATGGAATTGGTAGAGCTTGGTGAGTTGGGCACCCACAATGAGGCAGAAACTTACACCCATAGTTACAAAGATGATAAGATCAGCTATAAAAGCTTATTGCACATTGCTGGACATTGCAAAGTGCAGAGCTGAATGATTATAAGCATGCATTTTTTCCTACAATAAACTTCAAAGTTCAATCTGAGTTACCTAGGGCTGAAATATTTGGCAGCCACAGTTTTACTTTCCATCAGATTGTGGTTTGATAATTGATTGCACCATGGGGTCAACAAACTGGAAAGAGCCGTCGGGGGACACTGACTAGCAGCTTAGCCAGGCTTAATTGTGGCTAAACTTGTGTTGCTTTCACCTCTGTGTAACCAGTGGTATTTTATTTTTCAGGTTCAAGCAAAAGTACTTCTGTAGAGAAAATTATTTCACAATATAGTCACTTCACTTCCTTTATCAGGGTGATGTTTGACATCAAGATATAGCAATCAAATTTCGGATGATCACTTTTCTTTTCTACACCCCCTCGTTGAACTACTAGCGCCCCCTATGGCTGGCCTGGACGACTACAAGTTCTACATGGCAGCACGCGGGGAAGACTCTCCGTTCTGGGAGCGTCGTCTGCCGGAGCGTCGGGCGGGGGGCAGTGCTCGCCCAACGTCCCTCCCCCTGCCCGAGCAGACGACCGAGCCGGCCACCTCCCCCAACACCCAGTACCTGGTGGTGGCCACGAACGCGGCCGGACTGATTGTGGAGCACGTTCTGACGCACCCGTTTGTGGTGCTGCGCCGGCAGTGTCAGGTGAATGCCACTGCCCGTCGCTACCACCTGACGCCGGTCACTCTAGCGCCGGTGTTGTTCAACCTACACCGCCATCAGGGACTGGGGGTTCTCTGGAAGGGACTGGGGAGTGCGGTGATCGTGAAGGGCCTCCGACTGGCCGCTGAGGATCTGGTGAGCAAGGTGGCACCCTGGCCGCGGGAGCTGGCCCGCGGCAGCTCTGCGCGCCAGGCCGGCCGCCACCTACTGCTGAAGACGGCCGGCCTGATCGCCGCGGCTCCGTTCTCGGCAGCGAGTCTGACAGAGTCGGTACAGTCGGAGGTGGCCAGCGAGCGGCCGGGCGTGCTGGACGTGTTCACAGAGGGAGCGTTCCGCGCCGTGGCCGGTCTGACGCCGTACAGCGGCGGGCGTCTGCTGCCAGTGTGGACCCTGGTCGTACCGGCTGCTCTGCACGGTATCCTGCACTACATCCTGAGCGCTATCGGCGCCGAGGTCGCCTCTGCTGTGCTCCGCATCCTACGTGACCGAGCCGAGCGGCGACGCGGGGCGGTGCCGCGCGCGCGTCAGCCCCTGGACAGGTGCCACCAGCAGCTGGCCGTGGCGGCGGTGGGTCGCTACTCGGCCGACCTGCTGCTCTACCCGCTGGAGACGGTGCTGCACCGGCTGCAGCTGCAGGGCACGCGCTCCATCGTGGACAACCTGGACACAGGGTCCTCGGTGCTGCCCGTCAGCACGCGCTACGAGGGTGCCCTCGACTGCTTCTTCACCATCCTAGAAGACGAGGGCGTGTCGGGTCTGTACAAGGGAATCGGTACACTGGCGGCTCAGGCGGCTACGCACGCTGCGGCGCTGTACGCGGCTCGCTGGATAATCGGCCAGGTGGCGCTGCTGGCTGCCGATCAGCCGCCGCCCTCAGGAGCCGCCTCTAGGGACAACCTGACGCAGATGCTGGAAACACCCGTGTCAGGGATCCCCGGCGCAGGAGAGCCCGACGACTCCGAGCTCGACGGTCGGTGGAGGGAGGTGCGCACTCCTCTGACGCCGGCGGCTGATAGGTATGATCGGTATGCCGCCGAGTTCGATCGGTACGCGGGATTCGATAGGTACCGAGACCAGTTTTGAGAGGGTTAGCTATAGGAAGTCAGAGAAATATGTCTGGGCCACGTTGATGGCAGGCCAGTACCTATTGAGCAGCGAGGAATGCGTGAACGAAAGATTTAGGATATGCGTGGCCTGTAATGAGCCGTTGGTGCAATTAAAAGCACTTGGTATCAGTCTGCGTGATTAGTCATTTCATTTGTGAGGTTGAGCTTGATTGTGGCTGCTTTTGTCAGCTAGTTCGCAATGTGTATAGCTGATTTATTTCTGGGTCGCTGCGGCTATGTCACTGACAACAGTTATTATTGTAGTCAGGCAGTAAAAAATATCCAGCTCCAAGCATTTGTTATGCTTCAAACCAGGGCTGCGGAGTCGATGGATTTTCGGCGACTCCGACTCCGACTCCGGCTTTCAAAAACCAGCTCCGACTCCAACTCCGACTCCGGGCAGAATTGTCGACTCCGACCGACTCCAACTCCCGACTCCGACTCCGCAGACCTAGCAGGGCTGCGGAGTCGACAGATTTTCGGTGACTCCGACTCCGACTCCGACTCGGGTTTCTAAAATCGACTCCGACTCAGACTCCGACTCCGGTCACAACTGTCGACTCCGACCGACTCCGACTCCGACTCCGACTCCGCAGCCCTGCTTCATACCAGTATCATGGTCAGCGAACTTGTTTGAGAAGTTGTAAGCCGACTTTGCTGCTCGTGACGAGCTTGGTTGAGAACGATTTGTGATAGTGGTGAAGTCACGCAGGGCGAGCGTGTGTTATGCATGAAGGCGCTGTTTTTGTTGCATTTGCCCATTTGAATGCCAGATTTGTGTTATGTCAGTTAATTGACAGATTTAACTGGCTTTTACTGACGCTTGAAGACGAGTAATGTGGATGCCAGGAATTTGGCTCGTTCAGTCGGCGAATTGAGCCTCGGTTTCGCCCACTCATTTGGCGAACACCTGAAACCCGTCGAATCGGTGGAGGCGCATTGTGCCATGTTGCCGACTGAGTGCGGCCCATCCCTGCTCGATACCACCGGTGGCCCATTAGGTCTACCGATAGAGATTAGGCCTCGTGGCGAGCAGACACCGTGTCGTCTTTGTGAGGGCCTGTAACCATACATCCCGTGTATGATTGAGATCCAACGGGTCGCCTGTGGCCTGCCCTACCAGTCATTTATGCCATTGAATGGCTGTTTGATCTGTGCAGTTGGCGCCCCAAGATGCAATAAATAAATCGGACGATGTGCTGCTCTCTATTTCCTTTCATGACACGGGAATTACGAACGTTCAATATTTATTGCATTGCATGTTTGGCTAATGCACGTCGATGACTGGTGTATGAACTGTGATGACGCTATGCTAAAACAGGACGATAATTGCATACAACATGCGAGTGAACAAGATCGTACAACGACAAGCATAAGAACATACCTGTCCAGTTCCACACTGGCGATGAGGTAAAGTGCAGTCTCAGTAGAGCACCTGGATTATGTGCGCTCTCGGCCCACCCTTCTTGTATCAAATATACCTCTACAAATAGGCACGGCAGCATCCGGAGGATATGCCACTTGAGTACTATACATGCAATTAGGCAAGGAGATACGTCCATGGCACAGACTGAATCCCACAACGTTGAACGATCGATCATCAATTATCACATGGCACAAGCCGGCAGAAATTCGGTCACACCCAACTCACTGGTCGCTGGCATATCCTCGACCGATACAAATCAAACTCATTATCAACGCCCTGAAAAGTACGTCCTCTCGTACGTTCCGGGGTCAGATCACCGCGGTCACAACACGGGGCCCTGCGCCCCCGCCAGCAGCCTCCTCAGTCTCGGGCACCCGTACAGCGTCCTCTCTGTGCACAAAGCCCTCATCTGGTCAGGGTAGAGCGCCGCCAACCACCGCACGTGCGCCGGGCCTCGTCTCCGGCGCGTCAGAGTCTCTAGCCTGCTAGGCGCGCGGCGGTCACAGAGCACCAGGGACGCCGCCGGAGCCTGCAGCAGTCCCGGCGGCAGCTGCGGCTGTACGTCCGACGCCAGCTGCGCCGCCAATGCCGCGGCCGCGCCGCAACCGCCGCTCGACTCAAAAACGGCGCGAACGAGCCGGAAAAGGCGCGCCGAGAGCGGCTCGCTGGCGGCAGCGAGGCGCGCCAGCGGGGTCAGCTCGCGCCGGCCGATGGCGGTGAGGGTGAGCCGCTCCAGGAGGGCCGGAGAGGCGAGCAGGCAGCGGCAGCGCTCCACGACCGGGGCGACATCTGACGGGAACATGGCGAACGTCAGCGGGGATCAACGCAGTCCGTTGACGGGGACAACGGGACGCGGAAAACGTGACGAAGGTAGTGCCTTTAAGATCCCTGTATGTTACAAGTGAACAAGATTATGTAATATCCCCTCCTGCCTATGTAGTTCAGAAGCTGCTTGTGAATTTTCCTGTGCGTTGCCCATTGCGGTATATAATGCGTTTTGTTTTTTGCGTAACAACAAAAGCGGTACGGTGTGGTCAATGAATGCGGAAATACCCAGGAAAACTGCACCAAAACCATGCCAAACTCCAGCTTATACGCGACCGTGGCGTTCCTATCACGCAATCTGGTCACACCTGTAGAGCAGGCAGCTCTGCCGTAAGTTTCAATCACTTTTATCGTAATATAACCGATCAGCACTCGGTTTAAAATCTTCTAGGAAACAGATTGCGTGCACCTGCGGTGCATATCAAGATGTGCATATCACCAGCAAAAGATACAGCGCCATTGCGGCCAGCCTTATAATGGACCGAGTTCGCAGTGCCGTTTATCGGCAAACAGCAAACCATACCGCAAATAAATTGAGCGATAAAAATATAAATCACAGGCTTGCAACGCAATTCGGTAGGACCAAGGGCACAGAATAATCTCCGTGATATTCGATTACATTTGTCCGGCAGTAGCTGGTGTCTGGTACTTGACGCGGACAGGAAATGCAAATTTCTCGTAACCACAAAGCAGGGCATATACATTCGTTCTATTTCAGTTTGTGTGAGCATACCTATTTCGCAGCAGTCACATCTATCGCCGCAGCTCTCACCTGCTGTGTAGAGGTCCCAGAACATGTCTGCTGCCAGCCGCAGGGCGGGCTCCGACCCGACCCCCGACAGACGGCGCAGCAGAGCCGGCAGGGGCCCGGCCCGCGCTGCTGCCGGCAGAGAGCCGAGCGCTGCCGGCAGCTGGGCAGCTTCGGCAGCCGCCAGCAGCTGGCTGTCGGGCAGCGAGGCCAGCGTCTCGAGGGCCGTCTCCAGCACACAGGGCAGCGAGAGCCGCTCCAGCCACACATGTTCTGAGCGCACCTCCACTCGGGAGAACTGCACCAGCTGGCGAACTTCATTCTGACACAGAAATGAATCATGAGTGAGCCAGTGGACAGATCACTAATTAAGCACAATATGATGTTCTGGGTACCTACTACCGATGTGGAATTAGCCAGCCATATGCTGTGCATTGGTAATTGATAAATTACACAGATAAAAGCACTTCCAGCTAAACATGCATATCAAGGATATATACATTCAGTACCTACAGTTACAAATTGCAGATTATGATGGCAAGATAGATAGAAAGTCAATAGTACATTACATTATTTCATCAATACAAACATTCAAGCTAAATAGACAGCACAACCTTTTTAAGGCATTTCTTAGTAACTGGCATCAGATGAAAACTAGTAAATAGTTTCATAGACAAATAAGCAACTGCAGGCATGAATATAATAAATAAACTACAAGTTTAATTCCAACAAAACTTTATGATTGGATGGTACCTATTCACTAACTCTAATAGGAAGAAAATAGTGTCAATCTCACCAAGTCATCACATTCAGAAAAATCCTTCTGGTCATACAGCACATCAGTGGATTTGCTTTCCTGGTCCATGAAGTCATTATGTTCCATTCATCTTGCCTGCATACCTTTTCATCTCATGTTGCTGTGATCTGCGGAAATCAAACAAGTAGTGTGTGGTAGCAGTAGGCAGAATCGCAACAATCCGAAACAAGCGCCCCTTTTCCTAAATATCATCAGAAAGTGGAGAGTACACTGTAAGGCTGTGAAGTGAAAATATGTGTGATGTAAAAAATGAAAAGTTGAAGTAACCGAAAAATTGAGCCCATCAAGGCACGCCACGCACTGAAAGGAAAACAATAAGAATGGTCAATGGATAGCCATATCATTATGCCCAGCCCAGTTCAAGATGATAGATTATCCACACTTATCTTCTAAGACTCTATCTTCCATACGTCACAGCCACATCCTTAATTCCGATCTAAATAATTCACAATAATAGCTAAAAATACATATAATACAGGGCTGCATAGGAATGAGATCGCGCTAGTTTTGAACGTAGTGCGCAGTATGTGTAGAAATTGAAGCCATACACAAGCATATGGTAGCATATTGCTCTTTTTCCTCTAATCTCCCTAGAATGGGTTGCAATTTTTATTTTTATTTTATACCAAATTTTATAAGAGAAAAACAAAATTAAAGATCTGAAAGGAATTGTTTTGAAAATTTGTACATTTGTCAAGAAAAAAATACAAGATGTATTGAGACTTATAAATAATTCTCTGGAAATGAAAGACTTTTGAAGAATTTCGTACAAATAGCGTAATATGGTAGCAGCTGATCTGCAAATTCGCCAACGAAACAGTTATTTTGACGAGTCCAGCGAGTCTCTCACGGAGTCTCTCGTTGAGGAGGGAGGGGAGATGACAGGGCTCCGCGCAGTCTCTTCGTAAAATGTATTTTCCAATTGGCTGGCCTAAGGTGTTAGACCCAAGAATTGACAATGGGGAAGAGCAATACAGAAGGATACTTTGTAATAGGGACAGAATACTTTTTGCAATACTCTCAGATTCTCAGATAACAATATGGTTTTCCAAGGTGGGTAGTCTATTTTTCTTGCTATTTTATGATATCTCCTGTTGACCAATTTGTACGAGTTACAAAGAATAATGTGTATTTTGCTCAGCTGAAAAATAGTTATCGAGAGTATCAATAGGTACGTGGTACCTACCTACCTACCTACCAATGGTTCCGTGTTTCCAGTACGCACATCACAATCTAGTTTTCATGTTGCTAATCATAATCACTGGATTAATATAATTTTCACTTTATATTTTAGTCCTGTAAGATTGAAAGAATTGTGTGCGTTTATTTTGTCAGTACCTGTAACTTATATCACTGGTGTTTCATTTTATCCACAGCCACCCCTGCCCATCACATGTCACAAGAGGTCTCAGGAGTCACTGGAGAAACATGGAACAAACATTGATCTGCAATGGAGGCCAGACTCCTCCATGGTTGTTGTTACGGTATGTGAACGTGTGAATTCAATTTTAATAAAGTAATATGAAGATCAGCTGCTTGCACTGAGCTTCATAAACATGTTTTATATTGTATACGGTTGTGATTGCTCCCCAGCTGAGAAAGTTGTGCACATGAGTTGTGGTGTTCTCTGTCTTTCAGACGTCAAAGAACTTCCTCTTGTTTTTCCACCTTGCTGTGGACAACAGGAAGACAAGTGTATACCAGCAGGTGGATTCATCACAGGCTGCGCTACGGCGAGAGAGTGCAGAACTCTTCTTGAAAGAGCCCATCCCTCCATTGGTTTTTGCCAAGGTAGGTGCTGAGTCTCTGCTCAGGTTCTTTTGATTATTTTCTTACTGGTTAATGTATAATGGGTGGTTTTGGTTCTCCAACAATGTCCCTTCACAAGGCACAAGGCATTTGTTGATTTTATGTGCTGTGAGTCCCATTATTCATTAATTTTTTGCCATAACCTGAAGCTTATTTGATCTTGATCACTACCTGGTGGTTAGCTGCCATCCTGCCAGTCATCAAAAAGTGGTGAACTTTAACCAGCAGTGCTACTCCTGGTTAGTTTGATCATTGGAGACATGTTATACCTTTTATAACTATAGTCACCGTGATAACTCCCACCCAGGATAGCCTGGGCTGGCCTGGGCATGCGCTGTTGGCTGTCCATCGATTCATTCGTCGCCTGGGAAAATGGGCGGGGATTGTTGTGGTCCAATTAGATGCCTAATGCTTTTGTCCACCCGTGACATTCTCATTTGCATCTAGACGTGTGATAGCCTAGCCTGCCGATAATCGAATGTAAAACTGTCATTTTTTTCTGCTAATTTTTCGCGAAAGAAAGGCATAAAATACACTTGTGACGCAAGTTTGAACGGCATATTACGAGATATTATTTTACGGACGCTTGAGCCCAACGAGACTATGCGCCCTAACCCAACAAGTACAAGTAAGTATATTACGAGATGATCTCTTGCACTTGTCAGAAACTGAACTTATTTCTTATCTCAGCTCGTAGCAGCATCAGGGCACACATGCACGCTCAAACAGGGAAACAGGTTCATCAGTGTACCGCTTCCGAGAGTTGTCGTTGTTCAGCTTGCCCTACTGAATTCAACAACGACTTAAAGTTCAAGGTGAATGCGGCGGGTGAAAAGTTCCCGTGCAGATCACAGGTACCGAACTTTGACATGCGGTTTCCCGTGGTTTTCACTATGTGGGGGCGACTAATGGATGGTGTGGGATGCGTGTTAGGCCCTCGCCTCCCATACTAGGGCGTATATCCCGCTATCCAGAGTGGGGGACTGGTCTGGGAAGGGGGAGAGGCTACCTGTGGGCGGTACCGGAGACCATCTGATTTGTGTCAGCTCTATGTCAGTTACGAGTTCACTCATTAGCCACGTTCCGTCCCAGATACGGTACTAGGTCGTGATATGGGGCGGATGCAGGACTCCGAGTCCCGCAAAAGTTGTGATGTGAGAGTCGAGAGGTGAAAGTTTTTGAATTATGTGACTGGTCTTAATTACGGATGGCGACGGCGACAGAACTCGTACTTAATTAATGAACAGCGAATATAAGACACAATAAAAGTAAAATATAATGAATCGACTTTGGATGAAGAAAGGTGGTATAATGGTGCGCGTTACTTTGACGGAATCTGTATGTCTGTTTTGTTCGACATACCAATAAGCTTGTGTTCAAGAAATCGATCTCGAACCTCGAACCGACCTCACACGCATATGGCTTCTCCCATCTATCGCTGCTCTTTCTACAGCTCCCACCTCTAACCCCCCTCCCCCTCCCACTCGACAGGCGTTTCAGACGGGTCTCGATTCCCGTCTGACCTTGCTCTGTCCGCACCTTCCACATCTGACCTCCCCTCCCCCTCCCCACTCGACAGGCGTTTCAAACGGGTCTTGACTCCCGTCTGACATTGCTCTATCCGCACCTCCCCTGCTCTAACCCCTCCCCCTCTCTGTGCAGGCGTTTCAGACGGGCCTCGACTCGCGGCTGACGTTGCTCTATCCGCACCTCCCCTGCTCTAACTCCTCCCCCTCCCCTCTCTGTGCAGGCGTTTCAGACGGGTCTCGACTCCCGGCTGACGTGTCTGACATGTATCCGCGACGAGCTGATGGTGGCCACGGCCTCTGGGCACGTGCTGCGGTACCGCTGGGATGGCACCATCAACTACGACTACTGCCTGGACCTGCGGCGGACGCCCTTCTCCGTCAACCAGCAGGTCTCCGTCGGTAGGTCTGGCATGGTGTGAGAGACGGCCGTTTTCCGTTGGTATACTTGAGCTGTGTGATAGAATTGGACAGAAAGACGTAGTCTCATGCCGCAGTAGGCTGGCGTCCGAAGGGTAGGCAATGTTCGGTCGTTAGGCATCACGAGAGGGAGGTGGGAGATTGGTGAAGCTGGTTTGATCTATGTATTTATGCCTTTTTTGTCACATCGAAGTAGCATTCAGCGGCTTAAGGTTTAGCGACGTAATGATGCCATAAGCTGGGCCCGAAAGAGGGCGGGGGGGGGGGGGGGCGTTTGTGGAGAATGCTATGATTTTGGTGTGCTGTGTTATGTTATTGGGACCATTGACTGCCGTTCTTCCGACTGCATCTTGGGTGATATTCTAGTAATAAAGTAAATGTAGACTTATTGAGCTTATCTCATCCAGATGCGCAAAGTTAACATGTTGCAGAAGTTTCAGTGTATGTACTAGAGACATGCGTCGCTCTCTGCCAAGTTCGTTAATGCATTTTTTTTTTTTCGTCACATCGAACATCGAACGGCTTAATGTTGGCGAAGCGCCGTCAGTCAGGACGTAAAGCTTTTAGCCGTGTTTCACCGCGCTGAAAGACCACATGCAATCGAATAAGACTGACATATTTCGTTTCTTTCACCGACTTATTTCGACTTATTTCGACTTATTTCGCAGCCAATGCAATTATACACCATAGATCGATGTGCAGCCCTGCTTTGAGCATGAGTCTTTGGAGGCGTACCTATACGACAGTCGACAGTGATCTTTCCCGCTTTAGCAGCGAAAAAAAAAAATAACACGTATGCTCAGTTCAACTCTGGGTCCCCGTTTTGAAAGCAAAATAACAATGCAATGTCTTACATCTTTTAACTTGCATCACACAAATGTATTGGAAATAGTCGATTTGCGAATGGTGCTCTTCCATTTTTCAGCAAGTCCATCATTCCTGTGTGAGCCATATACCGTACAATAATTATCGTACATTGAGTGTACGACGATCACTCATTGTATTTCGCCGTCCCCTTCGTTCCTGTGACCACACATGTTCCATAATGGAAGGGAGGCTGGTTCCAGTGTCTCGTGTTTATTTGTCATGTTAAGTCGTACACATCCGGTCGCTGGCCCACAAATTTGAACGTTTGAAGGAATGCCGTGGACCTAAGGCGGCTGGTACACGTAACTCTACGGATGCCATGCTTGCGTGTCCGTTTTATTTTCTGGCCAGTATAGTAGTACGCTTACTAGCTCTGTCTCGAAGGCTGTGGGTGGTTTCACTTTTGTTACTGTTTGATGTCGACTGATAAGCACGCTCAGTCTCCTGTTTTTGCTGTGTGATGACGAAGGTCTTGGTACATGTGGTCTTGCGACATTGTGGTCCCCGAAACCCGACACATGCAATATCGTCAGGTGACCTGTGACCAGAGCTGGGTCGTCTGAGAGTCACGGGGATTCCCGAAAGCCCAGAAAGTTCGAAACCCCTCATACAGCTGCGGGTTTGATCTGGTGGCTAAAGGCTCGATCGTTGTGTCGGAATTTTCGCCCCGCTCGACACCCATTCCCGATACTGCTTAACAACTTTTCGGCCGTAAATACTTGACTTCCAACGATAAGTTGACCCCAAAGAAAGACGTGTGGCTAGACCCGTTCTAATGACGATGAACCTCGTGATGTTAATCTTCACGCAATGATAGATCACGTCGTATGACACTAATGTCATTATGCGAGGCAAAAGCGTAGCACTGCGTGACATTTCGTAATTTGTAGAACAGCACGTGAAACGTGACACTGCTGACCATTACGACGTCATACAATGAATGAAATGAAGGTAGGACGGGACGAATGGGACGGGATGAGATGGATTGTATGAATGGGATAATTGGATTGGTGCAAAATGGCTACAATGGTCGATGCGCCCCTCAACTAGCAAAGCCATTTAATCCAATAAACCCAATAAACCCCAATAAACTAGCACTGTCGTCACATGACATTGAAAAGTCATATGGTCGGACACAATAGATATAACACCGAGTCATGAGACCGCGTTGCCGTCGGGTATGCATCTATTCCCACTCTGACATCCCTCTCCGTCCCCCGTTTCACAGCGGTGCCGATCCAGGAGGCGGGCGTGCACGTGGTAGACATGGAGTACTCGCCCCTGGTGGGCGGGTTCGCCACGGTGCTCAGCGACGGCCGGGCCGCCTTCCTCACCGCCTCATCGCTTAAGTTCGACCCCAATGTGAGTGGACGGTGGGCTGGGGGTGCCGGGTAGCAGGGTGTATGCTCTGGGATGCTGGCTAGTGGTTTCACAAGTCTGGTGTCTTACTGACGTTGGAATGGAAACTTTTTCTGTGATTATATTTTATTTGTGTTGTTTTTATGAGTGTCAATTCATCGTCGGCTTTGCTTACTAACTAAATTCGAGAACTATCTTGCTGCATAATTTTTCTGTCGTCTTATCTTATTCGCTTCATAATTTCATAACCGCTGGTTCAAAGCAAATTGTTTTCCAATTCATGCCAACCTCCCTTTGCCCCCTCCCCTCTGTCTGTGTCTGACCGACTTTGTGTCCGTGTCTCTCTCCCTCCCGCCAGTCGGTGCAGGGGATCTGGGCGTCGGTGCAGGACGCCACGTGCGCCACCGTCAGCCACAAGTACCGTCTGATGGTGTTCGGTAGAGCCAAGTGAGTGCAGCTCTCGCCGGCTGCGGTACTACAGCTGACGGGCTGTGGCGGGGGTCGTAGCTCTCCGGCGGCCGATAATTGCGCGTGCAGACAGGCAGATGGGCTGAGAGGGTAGGAGGGAGGGGCAGTGGATGAGGCTAGTTTCCATAAAAGTGCCTGTAAATGGTTGTAGTATATTGATGTCAGCGGTCGCCTAGAATAGAACCCCTCCGTGGTTTTTCATAGGTGCACGTCACAATGGAAGTTTTTGTTATATATTTCCTGAAGTTTGGAGAGGAAATGAGATCTTCTCCACAAGGTTACATGCGCTTTTAAGCCGGCTCACGTTTCACCAATAACAACGTTGAAATAAAACGTCCTTCGATGCCAGCTGCGCCCCTGATTCAATCCATATTTATGAGGCTTTGTGGGGTTTCGGCTGGGTTACCCTGTTCTGACTACAATGCCTCCCGTCGACCTGACACTGTCCACGTTGTGATCTACCCTGGCCTGGATTGTGACCATGATCCTGTGCCCCGCTATGACCCTATTTTTATTGGATTTTACCAGATACGGACCCTTTCTGTGATCATTTTGTAACTTGTAACTGTGCACTGTGTGCAGTGACCGTCCTGTTAGCCGTTAGGGATCCATTATAACCGAACATGACCGGCTGTAACCTCGGCTGTGACTGTGCCCTGACCTTGCGAGACCTGATTACAAATTTGACCCGATATAACGCGTTGTTGCCCGTTTTGGGCTGTGACCACGTTCTGACTGTGACCCTCCCCTCCCTCAGTGGCGAGTGTGTGGTCTGCTGTGTGGACGACACGACAGGCGGTCTGCAGGTGCTGCACCGGCTCATCCTCTCCAGCAAGGACTACGCCGGATCGCCCGGACCCGTCGGTAGGTGACAGTGCGACCTGCAGAGAGCTGGAACTGTAGTCACCCCAGAAACTGCACTGAAACGTGATTGGGGACCCCTGGAGGAGGGTGGAGGAGTGCCCCAGGAATACCCGTGAAAGTACCCTGTACCCATACACATACTACCGATGATAGTATGTGTATGACGGTGATTTCAGTGTGCTACAAAGTACGGGTACGGTGAGTTAAAGCGCACTCGGAAGGGGGAAAAGGGCGTACGGAGTTGATAGCGCTCATCTGATACCGTTGGTAGTTGCTTCAAAGCCGATTCTTAGAGGTCGATGTCGTGGCATTTTTCACATAGCGTGTCGAGTAGGTATCAACGCGTTGGTGTGATGTGACATAGCTCATTGCTCATGGTATCGATGATAGTATGTTCTATGCAGTATCATATTATCAATATCCCGGTAAATGTATTAGTAATGATAACACACGCCCGTCTCCGCCGCCCGCAGGTCGTCTCTCGTGGACGCCGGACAGCTGTGCGCTGGCGGTCACGTGGCGCGAGCGGGGCCTCTCCGTGTGGTCTGTGTTCGGCACACTGCTCACGTGCACACTCTCCTGGGACGATGACGTCATATCGGCGCGTGACGTCGAGTGGGGCTCCGAGGGCTACCAGCTGTGGCTACTGAACGGACGCCGCCCGGGGGAGGACGACTTCGCCAACCGGGTCATGCAGCTGGCGTTTGTCAAGTCGGCACTCTCCGTCAACCCGTGCATGGTGAGGCTCGGAACTGACTTGGGGTAGATTATGGACATTGGAGTCTCTGGTTGGTCATGATGCGGTGTCGAGCTCTTTAGGGCGGCGGTGTCCCTGATGGAGTTGGCAATGTTGTCCTCGGGCTGTTCTTTTGTCATACGTCTTGTGGTCATCGCCGGTTTATAACTACTTTAGTGCAAAGAAACAGCTACGTGGTTGTAGAGTTAATTGTATTGCCTCTGCAAAACGCCAATGTCATCATTTAGTCTACTTACCGTTCTCTTTCCCTCTGTGCAGAGTAACCAGGAGCACGTGTGCCTCCAAGGCGAGGACCGGGTGCTGATCAGCTGTGACGACCCGGCCTCTCTGGGGGCGCCGGCCGGAGGTCACACCATGGCCGGCAGCAAACAGTGGATCACCGTGCCCGTGCCGCACGTCTACGTCGGATCCAACTGGCCTATTCGGGTAGGTTATGTGCCGGAGGTCCTCCAACAGACCGATACGGGTAGGTGAACCCCTTCAACTGGTAAATACGGGCTGGTGGGATCCAACTAGCCCATACCGATAGGGTTCAAGTGGCCCATTTGGGTAGGTCATGGTTACGATTCTTGGATCGACCGACCGGAGTTTTAGAGATTGTAGTGGAGAGAGCTGAAGATGTTTGAAGGTTCATGAAGCTGTATAGCAAAATGTAGGGTATGCCGCACGTTTTGCGACGTCTTCACCGCCATCATTACCCGTCGGCAATACACGACACTCGAGACCTTCTTACTTGAATCGCCATTTTACCTCCTCCTAGCCCCCCCCCATTTACAATCGTTCTTATCTTACCCTGTTCCCTTCCCGCAGTACACGGCGCTGGACGAGGGCGTGCAGCACGTGGCGGTGGCCGGCCGGACCGGCGTGGCGCACTACTCGCTGCTCACTCGCCGCTGGAAGCTGTTTGGAAACGAGAACCAGGAGAAGGACTTTGTGGTGACGGGCGGTCTGATGTGGTGGCGCCAGCTGCTCATCATGGGCTGCTACAACATCAACCTCAAACGGTGAGGCAGCGACCAGATGCAGGTGGGAAAGGGATAGAGGTCAGTCGGTGGTCGATTGCTGCAGTCGGTGGTGATTTTAAGTGGAAATAGTGCTCAAAAGTGGAAAGTGGTGCTCTTTGTTGGATTTCTAGATAAATTAGTGTTTCAGCTCTGATTTCTTTTACGTGACAATTTTATATTGTGTGAATAACGACATTAGGTCCTGATGGACTCGGTTGTTGGTCCTCAAGACATTCCAATTGTAGTAGCATAATTAAAAGCGTCTCCCTGCAAGTTCTCACCAATCAAGCGATGGGTCACAAGAAGCGCTAACGCCGGTGTGCCCCCCCCCCCCCACACACACATATTCCAGCGACGAGATCCGGTTATACCCCCGCGAGTCTCGGCTGGACAACGCGTTCGTGCAGATCACGCCGGTGCACGCGCAGGTGCTGCTGCTCAACCTCTACCAGGACACGCTGATCGCCTACTCTGCCGACAGCCACATCACGCTCTACCACATCAAGGAGAGCTCAGGTAGGTTCTACCGCTCTATGTAGCCACATCACGCTCTACCACATCAAGGAGAGCTCGGGTGTGTTCTACCGCCCTGCTATATAGCCATAACAGAATAGACAGTCACATCACGCTCTACCACATCAAGGAGAGCTTAGGTAGGCTCTACCACTCCACTGTAATAGCCACATCACGCTCTACTACATCAAGGAGAGCTCAGGTGCGTCAGTGGTGGAGAGCATTAGCTTTTGCTAAGGGGAGCACTAGTGAGTTGCGCTTTTCCATCCTACCACATGAGTGAGCGCGTTGGGGCACTTTCTAACTAATATTCATGTTTCACAAACTCAACTGCACATGTCTGAATTAAACGGACAGCTAATTTCATACATGCTCATGTTTCTTTCGTCTTTTTCGTATTGTAACCGCCCCCTCACCAACTACCCCTCTCCCCGCAGCGTCCGAGCCGGCCGCCGCCGAGGTGTCGCTGATCCAGAATATCGACATCTCTGCTCTCACTGCCCACCCGGCCTGCGTGGTCTCCGTGTCGATGTCGACGCTGCGGATGGAGCCGAGCCGCCGGCGCTCGCCGATCCCCCAGTCGGTGCTGGTCAACATCTGCGGCCGACTGCTGATGCTGCAGCGCGACCCGGACGAGGCCGGACAGCCCGTCCAGGCCGACAACAAAATGGTGGGTTTGCTGGAAGATAGCTAGTCAGGGAAGCGTTAAAAGGGACGCATTCGTTTGTGAAATGCATGACGGAGAACAGTATCATTTTTAGTTTGTTTCGTAATGGCTATCTTTTCGGTCATTAATAAGTAATTTCTACGTCAGCAATAATTGTTCACTTTATTTAGCTAGACTCACTAGATAGTAGCTGGCAGAGTCGATACGGGCCGTGTTTCTGTTGATAGTCGTTCGAAATTGCGCTCGTGTAGCAGTTCCCTGCGGTTTTCTCACAGAGTCCGCGGGCGCGGTGGCCAGCTGACTTCCCGCACACTGCCCGTATTCCCACGGTCGGCCGAGACACTCCGTGTGGCCGCCATGCCTCGCACGCGATAGTCAGCCAAATTCGTGCAGAACTTACGTCATTTTTAACGGTGGTCCACGTTTTTCAGTGCATACTTGCCGCGCATGTCACACCGGCCAAGGCCTACAGAGTACAGATGACATATTTGACACCTGACACTTGCCATTTGACGGCCGACACCGTCGGTCACGCTACACCAGTGAGTGGCTTGACACATGACTCTATGACAGTTGACGATCTGTCACCTCCCGTCAGTTGACACATGTCACTAAGCGGTCATTTGACACCCTGACGATCGTCTCTGTCTATCTCACAGTTCACGTCTTCTGTGCTGACGCCGACGGTGTTGGCGTCCATGGTGGAATCCGTCTGGTGTCCAGGCACCGTCTCACATCGGATGAAGCTGGCAGACGTCCTCTGGATCAACTCGGGCCAGCACGGCATGCGCGTGTGGCTGCCACTGTTCCCGCAGAACGACAAGGTGCACAACTTCATGTCCAAGCGGATCATGCTGCCGTTCCAGTGCAGTATATACCCGCTAGGTGAGTTAGTGGTGCAGAATAGTACGGGTACGACATTCGCGCGGATATAAATAGAATTATGTGATGTGTAGGATATTCGCATGTATGAGATGGGTACGATGGGTACGACGGTACGGGATGTCTGAGGCTGTGTGCAGTGATGGTACGCGGTCTGGGAAGGCACGGTGAGAGAGCTTGCTTGGAGCACGAAAAGTATTCGTGATAGTTTGTTATTGCTTTCATGGTATGGACGAATAACGACGCATAGTGTTATACGGGGCTGAAATGCCAAAATAGTTCAAGATGTGCTTAATGAGCAAAAATGTAGATCAAATACTCAATGACCACCTAGCAATACATTTTTTATGAGTGACTGTCTGTCTTACAACGGCCTTTCCGATGTCTGTTCCTATATAAGTGTGACATTGCCATGCTTTTGCTGATATCCCGTTCCTAACACCTGGCTTCACCAACCTGTGATTTCAGTGCCGAGGCATGACGACGCTGGGGGCTGATAATAATACCCTGCATGTATCCCGAACAGTAACACCCTTCTCCCCTGTGTTTGCAGCGGTGAAGTATGACGACGCGGTGATCCTGGGAGCGGAGAACGATACGGTGGAGTTCCCCGGCAGCAAGTGTGGCCGGCTGCCCTACTGCGCCGTGGAGAGGACGGTTAGTCAATAGGGGACAGCCACTGAGCTGTGGGGAATTGGTAGATGGGCTGACATAGTTGCTTGCTGAGTGGTGCGGCCGGCTGCCCTACTGCGCCGTGGAGAGGACGGTGGGTCAATAGGGGACTGCTGGCTGGGAAAATGGTGGATTGGGATGGGTGGTTGAATGGCTGCCTTCTGATGAAGTTTATAGCTATAATCTCGCTGCCGCCTGTGATATTTCATATGTAGGATAAAGCAGATGTTTGCCCTGAAATGCCCTGAAACCCATTTATCATGCCCTGAAACTACAGCTTGGAAAACTTGACAGTAAAATTGAACACCATTCCCGTTATGTTTCCACAGAGTCAGGTGTACCTGCAGCACATTCTGCGCCAGCTGCTGCGGCGGAACCTGGGCTACCACGCGTGGGAGATAGCGCACCGCTACACCCACCTGCCATACTTCTCACACGCGCTGGAGCTCCTCCTGCACGAGGTGAGAATGGCAGGCATGTGATGCGAGCGTGTTTATCGAGTGTGAAAGGCCGTGTTTCAGGAGGCACGCTAGAATCAAGAATCAAGAATCAAGGTTGTTTGGGCTCTGGAAGAAGACATCGAGGTCTATGTTGTAGCCCATTTCTTTTTCTTTTTAATCACACGTTTTTCTACATGTGATTAAAAAAAGGACTGGCTAGAAGACTGTACTTGTCAAATTAAGCCACAGACGCATGTTACACGTGAACGGTGTTTTTTCTGAAGTCCGTCCTCTTGTATATATGTGTTTTCCGCTGCCTCCGCAGCCATCTTTGTGTGACTGTAGTTCCTCTCCCCGACGCCAGGTGGTGGAGGAGGAGGCCACCTCCAAGGAGCCGATCCCTGACGCACTTCTGCCGCGCGTCATCGAGTTTATCCGCGAATTTCCCGTCTACCTGGACACGGTGGTACGGTGCGCGCGCAAAACAGAGATGGCGCTGTGGTCGTACCTGTTTGCGTCGGCCGGTCAGCCGGTACACCTGTTCCAGCAGTGTCTGCGGCGTCAGCAGCTGGACACGGCGGCCTCCTACCTCATCATACTGCAGGTGGGTGTTAGGGCAGTGTCTGGACACGTCGGCCTCCATGTGGTGCAGAGTGAGACAGTGTCTGTAAGGCAGTGTCTGAAGCTGGACTCTCCTACCTCATCATACTGCAAGGGGTGGACACGGTGGGATGGAGCTCATCACACATATCCATAGTGGCAGTGCTACGCACAACGCACTAGTTGCTGACGAGATATAACATTGCTATCGTTCAGCTGCTTCCTTAAACTATCTGCGCCCAATATCTGGCACAGGTATGGAATAAGCGGACAAATACCCTCCAAACCGCACGACATAGAGCCCAGTGATTTCCATCACATTGCCGGTCGCTCCGCTGAACCAGTAAGCAAATAACTCAACACCAAAATATCGTTTCACCTACATAATTACATGAATGTCTCCTCTCTCGTCAGAATCTGGAGACTGCGGAGACGAGTCGCCACTACGTGACGCTCCTGCTGGAGGCCAGCCTCGAGGAGTGCCGCTGGAAACTGGCCAAGGATCTCACTCGCTTCCTCAGGGCCATCGGTGAGCACAGAGACCCGCGTACGTTCCCAGAGTTGTCGATAGTCGGGGAGGGCAGGGAAGTGCGATAAAGGGTACGGAAAGAAAATACGGGATCACGCTAGTTTTGAGATGAACAGCATGTTGTGAACCTACAAGTCTCTCAGTCTGCCTGTCCTTGTGCTCAGCGTGGGATGAAAATTGAATGCCTGTGTTTTGAGTATGTCTAGTTTTTACAATGCATCTGTCTGCACGCTCGCATCCATCTTTGGCAAATACCTAATGCTGCGTAATAATTCAATCGACTTGTAGTTGATGTGTGTTGTCCAGCTAGACTGAGTACACACGGTTGCACGCTACAGCACGCACACGAGCTATAACTGATGCGCCTTTGTCCTCGCCTGGCCAGACCCTGCTGACCTGGAGTCGCCGCGGGAGCTGAAGCAGCAGCTGTCGCACGTAACGCCGCCCGTATCTCCCAACGAGGAGGACCTCTCGCTGGTGTACGGCACGCTTCAGGTACGGACGAATGGGATTTCTAATTCTAGCTGCTGTTGTCATTGCGAGGGCACGGACGAACAGTAGTGTGTGGTGAGGGTGGGGGAATCTTCTTCCGCGAAAGGCGTGAGGACTGTGACTAATTGCCCTGACCAACACAGCAGAAATGGTGTGGTTGAAGGGTCAGGTGGTCGTCTGAGTTTTCCGCCGTATATCTTGCATCTGAGTGTGGTACATACCTAGTGCTTCGTGCGCAGATGTAATGTCTGATGCTGTTGTAGCTTCAGGCATCACCTCTGCCAGAAACATTTCACTACAACAATCGTGACACACCCCACAGGTAACAAATAGCGTGTCTCACACCTCCCCTCCCTCCACCAGGTCCGCGGCCGCAGCCTGAGCACCTCGGCCAACCCTCGGGTGGAACACAAGCAGGTGACTCGCACCAACAGCGACCAGCGGGCCATGCGCCGCAAATCGGCCGGCCAGGAGCGAGCCGAGCCAACCACAGAGGTCGCGCGGCAGCGGCTCTTCATTGACCAGGTGCTGGAGCGGCACGCGCGCCGTCTGCTCACCCGGCGCCGGCTGAGACTGCTCGCCAGTTTCGCGGCGCACATGGAGTTTCACCTGGTGGAGTGGCTGCGCCGCGAGCGATGGCGCGCCGCGCTGGTTGATGATCTGGTGGAGGCGCTGCGTCAGCTGCACCACGACTTCCAGTGGCCGTACCCGGTGCCGCCGCAGCCGATCGGGTTCTTCCTGGCCGCAGCGGAGACGGGTCACGGCGGGAGCACCAACGGCAAACCCGGCAGCACGGCCGGGCAGCTGCACGAGCGACTCCGGGCGCTACACGTCCACACGGGAGATGGAGGGGACCACGCGGCACCACCGCCGCCGCTGGTCCCTCCAGAGACGCCGTCACCGGTGACACAGGACGCCCGACTGCTGCCACATCTCGTCAAAGGTGAGACATATGCAGTTACTAGTCGGGAGGTGAATGTGTTGAATGTAGTATGCTGCTGATGTGCATATAATTGCGTGACAGTTCGTTCGATAATTTTTCGAAGCGTTGAGCACCGTCTTAAATACCGCTTAAAATTAACTAACACCAAAATAATGACATAGTTATGTTCTTTCTTTAGAAATGAGCCTTCCTCGTATCAGTTTCCGCAAAATTCCACTTAGTTATCTCTAACTACAAGGTACATGGCAAAATATAATTTCCTTTCAATTTATCCGATCGTTTTCCCTCCGCAGGCGCCAACGACACGTCCAGCATCGTGAGTGAGGAGGGCAGCTCGACGTGGGCCGAGGAGGACGTCACTCCGCTGGAGACGCCGAACGGCTCCTCGGGAGGCGAGCTGCTGCAGCTGGACGTGGCGGCGCGCGGCACGCAGGAGGCACAGGTGCAGCTTAGGTGAGTTTGTACGCATAACACAGGTGAGGCACAGGTCCAGCTCGGGTGAGTTTGAGTGCCAAGTGCATACGCATAACACAGGAGGCCCAACTCAGTCACTGCTAACTCAGGTGCAGTGTAATTCAGTTAGAAGCCAAGGTCAAATGTCTGGTGGAGGCTGCGAATAAATTGTACGAAGCGTCCTCAACGGTAAATATTTGTGATATTTTGGCTTGTGTTGTGTATCAACTATCAACGTTGGCTTGTCGGACTGCCATGTCCCGTGTCTCCTCTCACCATCCCTCCCCTTCCGTCCAGGTACCTGCTGCAGATCATGCTGGAGGCCGAGTGCGTCGAGTGGGCGCTGCTCATCTCCATCGTTCTGCGGGACGCCATGGCCGTGGTGCGAACCATCAACCTGACCCGAGCCGGGGACGGCCTCACCCGGCTGCGCGCCGGCCTGCGCGCCCTACACACCTGGACCGTCAATGAGTGGTGAGTGGGGGGATCGAGTCTGAGCGGAGGGAGCTTTCTAAAATGTTTTAAGGCTAAAACTTTTGTGGCCGATAACTCAGATCACGGGTACAAATCAGTCGTCTGCTGGAAACCGTCGTGGGGTTTTTGCTTCGAGTAGTAGAAAAACTTGCAGTGCTTGTACCCTCGGGTCATTTTCATAACGTAATGAGTTGATGTCATTGACATGGGTTCGGTTGCAGCTTATGCTCAGTGCACCGCAATGCGAGTCGCAAGCTCAGATGTGGGTGCAGTACATTCCTTCTCACTGTCCGTCCCCCACCATCTGACCCAGCCATGCCTGTCTCTCCGTGTTCCAGCGTCGGCTACCAGCCGTTCGTGCAGGTGGTCTCTCGCCAGCTGCTGGCCGAGAACTCGCCGGTGACGGAGCCGGTGCCGCCGCGCTCGCGCACGGTCAGCGGGGTCAGCACGGCCAGCACGCTGACCGAGGAGCCCGAGCCGGAGCCGGAGCCGCCGCTGGAGCCGGAGCCGGAGCTGCCGGAGCCGGCGGACGCCGACGGCCGGCCGGCGCCGGACGAAGAGCCGGGTGGTGGGTGCGTGCTCATGTAGCGACTGGTTACGGACGGAGGGAAACGATCTGTAGGTACAACGGGCAGCGCCGCCCGGGACGCGCGGGGTTTATAGTACACCGGGTACATGTCGGACGGTCGTGCTATGTGCGATCGGTCCTGTGGTACGGCGCGCTGCGCTGGCTCAGCGGACAGCGGCCCCGGCCGACTGGCTCACATTAGCTCAGTTTGGCTCAGCCGGGCTCGGCCGGCAGCCCGTGCTGTGGTCCGGCACGGGGCGTGAAGTGAGCGACGGAGCCGTGCGAAGCAGGCTCGCCCGGCTGTACATAATCTGTGCCAACCTGTGATAAGAGTCGGCGTGTTCCGATCGTGCCGAGCGAGAGAGGGGGACTGTTTTTAGCGACTGTTTTGGTCGGCGAGCGCGGCTCGAGCGGCCACCGCGTGCCGACAGTGTACAATACCTATAGAGTACCATTCCTGCCGCCCGTTGCCGGCGAGATTGTTAACGTCGCGTCAGACAGCCGTCCGCCCGGCCGGCGCGCGAGCGGCGGGCCTCTACAGCTCACTCTTGTGTATCAATATTTATCGACGACGAGACGTTAGAGAGCGGGAGACAGCAGTTACGACTGGTTATGTGTCAAGCTCGAGTTGAGCACTGAACATGCCATTGAAGCGTTGACGAACATGTGCCGACCAATATAAATGAGAACTTATCGTATTCATGCTTGAGATCATGAACCTGACTGGATGGGGTAAGCGGTTATCTTGGCTATTGCGATGAAGGTGGGTGCATACTAAGGATTTATGATGTCCATTGGATTAGCTTACAACAAATAATCCTGAATGAAGTAATCTTAACTCATTGAAGATCGGCGTGGCCCGCCCGTTGAACGATTTTTGAATTACAGTGATTTCGACAAACGTCAAAGCTCTCTATATACCGTGGTCAAAGCTTTGTGTGGAACTAGAGCGGCCGCGGGACGGGACAGTTCATCAAAAACTCATAACTTATGGATCGAAAAAGCTTCCATCGAAATAAATAGCCAATCTTATATGATTTATCTAGTTTTTTCGTACTAGCATGCTGTTGAAGATGCTAGCCGGCTGCACAGCTTATGAGTCAAATATAAATTAGTGGCGCATTACCTCAAAGATTGTTTACAATGGTATGCTGCGGCATGATTGGGTGATTGGGGTCAGGGGGGTACGCTCCGGCTGTTTAACATTACGAAAAGTGGTGACAGACGTTTGTGGAGGATTGTCGACGAACTCTTGTTCCGCGAGCAGCACTCACGCGCTAGCGGAAAATCCACCAATCAGCGCCCGGCAGTGCTCGACGCTGATTGGCCCGACGCTCGTGACGAAATTGCGGGGGACCGCAGTTATTCTCTATGGACTCGAATAGGCTTTTGGATTTCGGAGGGGTTTCTTTAAGATTATATGCTGTTTCGAGCTGTTTTCGAGTTGAAATATATTTCTTATGACTGTTAGCTATATAATGGCACCATAAAATCATGATTTTAATTAATATTACCGATGTAATATCGGCCGAAAAGACATGCTGTCTTGGCACGGACTGCCCTGCAGCTGATGTGGGGCCTCTAGTGCCAGCGTATGGTAATAATGGGCTGACGAAGGGTTATTGGAGACTCTTAGAGACCCACCAGGATTCAGTATAGGGTCATCAGAGGCCGGGAACATCCATCAGGGGTCTGAGTAGGCCTGCCATAGGGGCATGCATGACACATCATGGAACATGGGTCAATCTAGATCCATTAGGGGCTGTTGAAGTGCCATCATTGTTCAGCGTGGGCCCGCAATCACCTCTGATGGGCATATGCCGTGCCCCGATGGACTAACGCTGGCCCCCGATAAACCATCACCAGCCCCTGATAGGTCTACAAAGCCCCCTGCTGGGTCTAAATTGGTCACTGATATGCCCTAATGGGCCACTGAGAAACCCGTACAACATCCCCTGACTGCACCTGATGGACCAATGCCGTCCCCTCATGGGCCCACCAGGCACCACGGCTCTTGAATGGCCTCTTCAAGTCCCTGAAGCGCCTTTATTGGCCTAAATGGACCCCTGATTGGCTTATGTGGTCCCTAATGGTCCTATATGGCCCCATGAGCCCTCAACGTCCCTAGACAGCCTTACATTATATGCCACCGGTCCCTGGTAGGCCTGCACTGGACCCAATAGGCCTATACCGACCCATAAAGGGCCCATGTCGAGCCCTCATGGGCCTCCGATGACCACACGCCGGCATGTGTGGCCCCATCAGCAGTGGTCCGTCTATCCCATGTACTTACGGTCTTTTTGGCCGATGTGACACCGGTAGTATATAGAAATATCATGATTAAATGTCGTTATTATATAGTCAAAGGTCACGGAAAGAATATCCAAGCTCAAAAATGGTCTCAAACCCAACAAAAACTGATACAAATCCCCTTCAAAAGTCATAAGTCAATGAAACACCATAGGGGAATAGCTGCAGTCCCCCGCAATTTCGTCACGAGCATCGGGCCAATCAGCGTTGAGTATTGCCGAACGCCGATTGGTCGATTTCTGCTAGCTTGTAAATGCTGCTTGCGGATATAGTCTTGAACAAGTGAGGGTCGCGGCAACTAAATATTGCTTGTCACCACTTTTTCTTCGGGAGCGTTCTACCTGGTTTATATAGCCTTGATTGGGGTTGATTGTGAATTGTGATGCTGAGGATCAACAAGCAGTGAGCTGTCTTTGGATTTCATGAATTTCATGAGGATATTGATATGAGAATATTTAGAAGACTGACATGACCTAGAAGATATCTGAACATTTCCTGAAACTACTTCGGAAGGACAAGGAGGCTTGAGATTGGAGACTGTAACAGTAAAGGTGAGTTGGAGTGTGTTTCTGTTCATGTTCATAAAAAAAAAATGAATGGCATCAGTGCTGATGTGCTGTCAAAATGCACAAGTGCTTAATTGGCTTGTAACAGCCAAGGCTGGGGTGTGTTCAGATGCTGGTGCAGAATACCTGACGGCTACTGGTATCCCAGGGCTTGGGGGGTAGGCTGGAATTGAACTCTTGGATCCTGATAATAACAGTAAAGAACAATAGGGACTGTGATAAATAAATCTCGTTGCTTTTTTGCCTTTGTAATTAGGTACTTGTGTGGAAACAGGTTTTGTTGTAATATGTGTTAATGTGAGATATTTGTTCCGAGATAACCCATATCTTTGGTGGTCTGAAATCTGAATGCTGACTGCCACATTCAAAACCCACTTTTCTCTGTAACTGTGACCCTGAACTGAAGAAGTCCCATGGATGAAATGTAGGTATTTTTTTTCAAAGAATTTTGCATTTCATTTATCATTCAGAACTTACTATGAGCAAAGGCTATCATATCTCAATGAAGGATAAAGTTTCCACAATCGACATCTGCACTTGCTGCCTGCTGGCTAATGGATTCGAAGCTATCAGTGTCTACATTTTAATTATGACAGATCAAGATGCTATTGGTAGAAATCAAGGCCCTAAAACATAGAACATAGGTAGAAATGCTATTTTAGCTTTGCTTTGGTCATTGGTACCTACCTTGGATATTGGATAATGGAGGAGCTATTTGGGTCTCCAAAGCATCAAACCATCACCTAGACTCTCCCTTTGCAGTAAAATACCACTCAATTTGTGAAATGTGAGATATTTATTGAAGAACCATGAGAAATGGGCCAGTGTTGAGTGTTGCAGGCTGCTGGATCTCATGTCAATGTCTAGTGAAATCATTAGAGTTCATATTGATATGCCCTTTTTCATTATTTCTCCCATATGATTAATGCTGACATTCAACTAGACTGATATAGTTGTCCTTTCCCAGCTAATAGCACTAATAGTAATGTGTTGCATGATGCTCTATCATTGTGTTGGTGTTGTGACCTTGACCTAAGGCTGTTTCCAAATGAACAGTGGGGCCTTTTTATTGCTCATATGTTTAATGGAGTGTTTTTTTTTTTTTGCAAAAGCAATGCTAAAAAGGTTATCTGAAATGGTTATTTACCTTCCCAAGCACTTAACCAATGACCATTTTGCATTTTTCAAGGAGAGAGGGAGAGGGGCTGACCCATCCCTTGTTGATTTGGTTTGGATATTGGGCATCCATTTTTGCTTTAAATTTGATCCTAAGACCCTGGATGGCCAAATATAAAGAAAGTGTAATGATAAATGATGAAGTTAAACCTGTAGAATTAGCTTGCATGAACTCAAGCATGGATAGTAATTCTAGTAATGCATGGATAGTAATGCAATACTAATTCTCATTCATGCCTTTGCCATGTGTGACTTTTTGTGATCTTGACATTGAGGCAACCTTACATAGCTCAGTCTCAGGATACCATCAAATATTGTGATCACAATGATCTTGCTTGATACACAGAAACATTGCTAGAAAGCAAGAAACCTCACCTAGATTGATATCATGCCGATTTCGGTCGAATATGACCTGACATTTGACACTCGGTGACTGGATCGAGTCGGAAACAGAAATTTTCGAATTGCGTGCCTGAAGAACAAAAGTCAAAGCCTTTCCAACTTCACAAACAAGCTGTGGGAGGGGGAGGTGCATCATTCTGTTGAGCCAGCAAGGGTTGACATTATATTACCTCTTGGAGGTCAATGGCTCCCTACATAGAGGTCAAATTTGACATTATATTACTGAGATGATTTGTCCGAGATGCCATGATTTGTCATGATTTGCTGAGATACCCATGCCAAAAATGCCCACCGGTTGTGACTCGGCCCGGCGTGCTATGAGCCGTTCGGTGTCCCCACGGACCACTCGATCTTTTGACCTTCAGTCTCTGTCCACGGGTCGACCTTTGACCCCTGCCGGCGAGCAGCGCCATCTAGGCACGAAATTGGACAGCAACGTGGCCGCCAGGCCACGGTGGCGCATTCGAGTCATCAGATGGGATTTTCAGAGTTATCGGCTTATCACGTCGGAGCGCCTTCAAAACACCTGAAGTGGTGTCACTCCTCAAACACGTGCTAAGCCAAGGCTGATGTATCACTGCGTTTGGTTACCTATATTTACGTAGGCATATAATGACATGTGGGTGGAGCGTCCATTGGCACATTACTTTCGCTCAACGTGTCAGAATGGACTGGTTGCACCAAGGGTTGCACCGCTTTGTTTTCCGTTTGACCTTTTGTTGAGGTTTCCATGTCATGCCTCGGTGGTAGTGGATTCGATACGGGGAAGACGCACGCTATTTTCCGCGCGTTTATCATGCATTTACATGAAGGCAATCGATGCTTGGCGAGACATTTTACGGTTCTTGTTCTCTGGAGGCAAGCCCGCTTACCTGAGGTCAACCCGCGCCAGGGCGGCGATTTGATCCGAAAACATCAAAACGGGACTAGGGGCGATTTACGCCCCCCACCCTCACCCCTTCCACTCATGTTTCCAATGCAATGTAATATGGATCATGACTCATGGTACTTAAAGTCATCAAACTGCATTGACGGCTTCATCTAACATTCATCCGGCCCTTCATTCACTTCAATTCGAAGCCAAAGTTCAAGAGCCTAAGCGTTTTGCTATCTCTTATTGGCGATTTTTGTTCACCGTAACCTTGATCTGGGTGTTGAAGTGCCGATGTGTGGTTCTTCAGCTGACGTATATTCTCCATTACCAAATATTCTGAGCGTCTCGCGGAAGGAGGCGTCTGTTGGTT